CCAGCACCGAAACACCAGCAGTAGCATTTTCCATCTCCATTGCAGTCGCCGGAGAATTTCTGATGTGAACAGTGCCATATTCCGGCACCTGACCAGCCACAGTAGCATTATCTAGCACTAAGTTAGTCGCCGGAGCTTTTCCAACTTGACCAGAACCATTTTTCTGCGCTGGCGCTGGCGCCGGAGCATTCCCAGCTCCAGAAAAACACGAGTTAGAATTACCCAGCATCTTTGGGAGTTCAGGTGCCTTTGACGGGTCGCAACAACTAACACACACCCCTTTATTGCTGCTTTTTGCCTCGCCGGAATAGTGATTCCGGTCGTTTGGTACCACTGGATCTTCAGGTCCCGGCTTCTGCTGACAATCTACCCCTAATGGAGAGTATCCAGACCTTGCATGAGACTCGTGAGACGAATTCGAGCCTCGGGAGATCGTCTCCTTCCTATTTTATTGGATTACCAGCGGCGGAACAGTAGGGTTCCGATAGGTTTGACCTTTCTGTGGGTAAGTGCCGATGGACTCTTTTGGATGCAGACGGTTCACACCTTTTTTATTACTGAACCAGTCCTTTCTACCCTTACAGCCCTGTTCACTAATCCAAGGGTAAGGATGTCTTTTCCCTTTATTAGGGTTTTTTCTCTCTTTCCAGAATTCAAAATTCACGTTGCCCTTCTTCCTCTCTATTACAACCCGCTCATCCATGGCTTCCGGCATCAGAGTTCCACCTTTCTCAACCACTCTTCCTCCTCTCACACCTCCTATTTCCCCTCCCTTCCTAACTTTACCTTCATTCTCGTCCACCTTTAAAGGCAACATCATAGGCCGAAATTCAATTGACAACCAAACTATGTAACCCATCTCTCCATCATCCACCTTAATAGAAACAGGAACTCTCCCCCCTTTCCTCACCATAAGTCTCACTCGGGACATGTCGTGTAAGCTGCAGATAACATTTACAAAGCCCCCCAAAAGATCTCCAACCTTCCTAAATAGATTAACACACCAAAGATGAATTGGAAGGCCCACCAAGTTAACCATCACTGTGTCACCGAAAAAGCGTGGATCGACGCACCCTTCCTGTCCTATCCACCTCTCCAACTTCATGAAATTACCATCAAACCACCTCTTTCCCCCATGAAGAATCTTAGCAGTTTGTTCCTCAATTCACAAAGCGAAACAGGAATTGGTTGTCACTAAGCTGTGTGATCTTCAGCCCGTCTTCCACTCTCCACTCCTTAGCGGCCCAATTTATGATTGCCTCGGTGAACCTACCCATTTAATGATGGACCCAACCAAGCAAGATTTCAAAAAAGTTTTCCTTGTCAGCGTATGTTCCTCTGACAGTGAGAAACTGGACTCGCCATTAGACTTCTTCAGACGACATCTACCTCCCAAATCTAGTGTAGGCCAGGCTAGAGCTTCCTTGGAAGACATATGCTCTCTTCCTAGATTCTAGAGAGAAGTAGGAGCTTCTCATAAAACTCCGTAATGTTTTATGCTATCACAAAACCAACACTGTCTCCTTCTTAGACCTTCATAGATTAGCTACTTGACCAATTTTGACAGGAAGTAACTCAGTTTGCACTTTCCTATGCTAATTACAAAACAAAAAAGCAATGTAAAATTACTTCTCAAGTAAAAGCTGTCATGGCGGGGTCATGTCATGTCTTGCAGATTGTCGGAGCACTCCTTATTACTCCCTCCGGTTCACAATAATTGTCCAATTTGCTTTTAGCACGCCCATTAAGAAAATACTAAATTCTATACAAAAAAACCTACTATGACTAAACTACCCCTAATTAAACATTTAATGTGAGGAGTAAGAAAACTTTTTAGGGATATGTACATAGGGATTATTTTGTAAAAACAAATTGAATTCTTTCTTGATTACATAACTGGACACTTATTTTGAACCAAAATGAAAAAGCAAATTGGACACTTATTGTGAACCGGAGGGAGTAGTAATTTAGTATAGATGACTGGCTTATATTTTGCTCTAAAATTCTCTATGATTGTTTACACCTTTCACAAGGGTTGTTCCCTCCTTAATAAAAAAACTTTTTACTTTATCAAAAAGGGTTGCCTTAGGGAAAACCAACTCTCTATTCTTCTGATCCAAACATCCTACCATTTTCCTTGTTCTTTCTTCTCACTCAAACTACCTACGGATAGTGTGAGTAGCTCATTCATAATTGGAGGTCTGAACCTATCATGAGCATGGTCATAGTCTGTCACGAAACGTATCTCAAGTTACTTGTTTTAACTCTAAAGGTCTCGACATATGCTTTCAACCTAGAACATTAAGTGACTCTTCCATATCCTCAAGAGGGAGAAAGGTTCTGTCATCCGAAAACCACATTGATTGTTTACATTGCATTCTTCTCTTTGTAGAAACGGCAGTGTCTTTTAATAGCAAAGGAACTGGGGTAGCCGGGCCATAACATGAGAACGGGATCCTTTCTGAAACCCTCTAGGATTGATCATCCCACCTGATACTGAAGTATCTTTCATAAAGAAGGGTTCGGGACCCAAATGCCCAACCAAGCTTCTATCTACCACAAGAAAATCTCAGGCCATTAGAAATATGCAGAGCTTCAAAACTGCCAGTACATGATAGGTAAATGTGTAAGACCTAACAAGAGGTAATTATGTGATACTTCATCCATCCCATTAAGTGTGACCTAATTTGACTATCTGGAGTTCCAGAATAAAAGGTTTTGATGAGTTACTAGGTAGATATATGTTAATATAATGGTTAGCAAATATAAAAGATATAAATTCTACTGATCATGATCAAAGAACGGGTACAAATTTCACGTCAAATATAAATATAAAATAAAGTAGGTCCTTATCGTTAATTCGGTGTTTCAAGTTGGAGGATGCTGACATTCAAAGAGGTCATATACTTTAACAAAACGGAGAAGGGTCAAATATGCCCTTATACTATTGAAAAAGGTTTAATATAACCTCCGTTATACTATCAGTCCAAATATAACCCTAACGTTATACTATCGGTCCAAATATATCCCTGACATCATGAAAGTGGTACAAACCTACCCTTCCTCCGTTAACTGCCTCTCCTATGAACACATTTGATTGCTACCTCACCATTTCACCCTGTTTGCAGCCACCAAGTTCAATTACTTTGAAGTTCTATCATTATTTTGAAGACTTCACTGCCTATACTTCCTCTTGCTTTTCAAAATACCTGTTGCTTCTCCGGCCGACCCTGGAATTGTACGTACCTTTCAATTGACCTTACAATTTTGTGTTTTATTTTGCATTTACTTGTGTTGCCACTGAATTTGTAAGACCTATTTAGGGAAAATTTAGTAGCACTTTTATTTTAACATAAAACGTAAAGAGAGAAAAAATGGTAGCCTTCCAGAAATGTGGTTGAAGAGAAAGAAACAAAAAAAATTGACTCTCGTGTCTAGGTTGTTTTTCTTTCTCACCATGGTCAATTTTGAAACCTTAAACTAGTTTGCATGTATCTTTGCTTAGTTTTTTATATAAAATAAAATGTATTTTCGTTCGTATAAGCATGAATTTTGAATAGCAAAATCAGAATTTTCTCGGTTCACATTGTTTCATATTATCTGTAGTTGTTAGCATTTCTTTTGATATAGTTTGTTTGTATACATATGATCTGTGATTTTTCTTCAAATGTACGGGAAAGAAAGGTTGTGGGGAAGGGATGAAAATGGGAGTATAATGGTGATATGGCAATGAAATGTTGTCATAGGGAGGCAGTTAACGGAGGAAGGATAGGTTTGTACCACTTTTATGATGTCAGGGATATATTTGGACCGATAGTATGACGTTATGGCTATATTTGGACTGATAGTATAACGGAGGGCAATATTAGACCTTTTTCAATAGTGTAGGGGTATATTTGACCCTTTTCCGTTAACAAAATAGGATCATAAAGTAAAAAGAGAGAGATCAGAAGAGTGAAAGGGGCAGAGAAAACACGATATCAGAAGAGTTAAGAGGCTGAAAATGTTGGGATTGCATCCACTAGTATTATCATTTTCTTCACACTTTTAAGTTGGCACCTATTACTGACAAGCAAACTGTAAAGAAAATGGACCTTGGACTTAACTCAACCCTGATAGCTCATGAGGGTGAGGATTGCCTAGACTATATAAGAAGGCAACAACCCACTTCCTCAATCAATTGAGAGAATCTAACATCCCATCCCCGGCAGGCCCAAGGCTGGATGTCTGGAGTGTAAACAATATAACATGGGGGTTGGGGGGGCAATTAGGTAAACCAAGCATAAGGATGGGTTTAGCTTTGGTACCATAATAAAGAAATAGACCTTAGGCCTACTCAATCCCAAGAGCTAGCCCATGAAACAAGGAATGTCAAGACTATATAAGAAAACAACAGCTTATTCTCTCAATCAATATGGGACAATTTAACCCAAACGGAGTTCTTCCTAAGCAATTACATCCACACTTCAATCCTACATAAATGTCCCATAAATTATGTCCCTAACCAAGATTTTCTATATATATATTTATTTATTTTCTTAATAGATTTTTCTATATAGACATCCAAGCAACACAAATTTAAGGAAAGTATACACATATTTTGGAGCAAGGATCGGTTATCAAGGAGTAGAATCCAAAAAACCACGTAGCACCTCCTTGACCATAAAGCTATCGCATAATTCTATCAACACCAAAAACTGCATAACCAGGTACTTATAGCATCAAAAATTGTAGAGCTGATAAATGCGGACATCCCTTAGATATTCATCTGCAGCTGGCCAAAGTTGCGTGTAGCAAGTTCAGGCTAATTTTTCTGGTTTAATATTTGCACCCTCAAAAATTGAAATATTCCGGAGACAAATAATTCTCTCCTTTAGACACTCATTATCGTGTATATCTTATCTAGTGACTTGAGAATATATTTGAACTTTTGTATACAGAATAACCATATTTACTTGATCTTCAAGCCAAAGTGAATTATCTCAGATATAAGCAAGTACCTCAGGGCAAATCCACGCATTTCCTGCACCACGAATTTCACCGCCATCAGTAAGGCTAGCTCTAATGCCATACAAGTCAGCCACCTGTCCCAGACATGATGAATTCTATAGTACAGAAGCATTACGAAAAAATTGAAATATTTATAGCTGATTTTGCTTACACAGTTGTCCGTGTTGAAAGTGAAGTTGGCTGAAATGTAGGAAAATGGAACACGATCAATTGCTGCCACTGCACCAGCCTCCTTATTACTAATCACAGCTTCATATGCGGCAGATTTAGGAAATTCATTGGCCAAATTGGCTATCTTCCTTGACACCAATGCACTCCCCACGAATACGGGAATGTCCAAGGGACCTTGACAGTTGAATACAGCTGTAACTGAACCAGCCAACTGAGTACATCATCAAAGGATTTTGAGATCAATAAGGAGAAAGAGGCCAGAGCAGCCCGATCACAGTGCCCTCTTAAAAGATACAAGATATCACAGAGATCTAGAACACAGTTCGAAAATTGATCACAAATGTTTGTGCAATGCCTTTCAATAAAATAGGAAAGGACCTGTAAGAATGTTTACAGTCCTCTTAACAGATAATGAAGCACATTATTTGGCAACAGAAAGCAGGAATCAAGTCATAATAATGAAGCTGAAGCCTGAAGGACATTTTCCCATTTATTCTCAATTTTCACTGACTTGGGATGCAAAAGAGTTAGTGTGTTTTAGCAAGAGCGCAGGAGACTAGTTAATTTTTATCCTTTGAAGCACCTCTTACTCTTGCTCTTCATCAGAGTAGACCGGAGCTTCAGTCAAAATTGTCTTTTGATAAAAAAGTAACATTTCATTAAATAAAACACAACGAAGTGTTGCACCTGTCTAAAGAAGTGCATACTATGAAATCCAACCAGTAACTTAAAATGATTCTTTCACTCGATACAAATTCATACCCGTAGGGGTGTGCATTCGATTTATCGATTCGATTTTGACCCTTATCGATAATTACTTATCGATTATCGATTTGTACATATGCTTATCGTTATCATTTCAATAAGGTTTCGATTTTTTCGATTTCGATTTATCGATTTTTGGGGCTTATCGATTCGGTTATCGATTACACCAATAAGAAAATTTGCGGGATTCCACGGAAAGTATATCGCTATAAACACGCCTAACTAATATGGACCAAAAGAGCTAAAATAAGACGAACACCGTTTATAACATAAAAATTGTGTCAACAAGCACATGCAACGAAACTAAAGTAAGGGATCAAATGTATGCCACCAACACTCCAACGGTATAAAAAAATAAAAATACATCATCACGGCTAATTCTATTTTCCATTAATTTGAACTTCATTCCCTTGAACTTCAAAAATGATCATTCCTTAAATGTGGTAGATGAAATAATAGGGTTAGGGACTTAGGGTAAAGGAAAGGGTATTATAGAATAAGGGTAAAAAAAATTAAAAAAATTAATTTTTTTTTAGTATTTCTTATCGGTGTATCGATAAACCGATAACCGAAGAGGACAAAATCGAAATCGAAATCGATAACTCGATAAGGAAAATTTTCGAAATCGAAATCGATAAATCGATAAACCGATAACAAATAATCGATTCGATTTATCGATAAACCGATTCGAATGCACACCCCTAATACCCTGTTAAAATTCCTTGGAATAGGAGAAACATTCTGATATAGAAAGGTCTATTATTAGATTCATTCTGCCATGGCGCATTAAGCATTAAGCTATTCTATAGCACATTTTTCAGTTAAGTCTGCAACACTAAAAGCACATCCCTTATAGATGATAGTTTTTTAATTACAACCAAATATACTATCAAAAAAGACAGAACATCTTTGTCAAAGCACTTTGCATCTTTAAAACACCCGAGCCCCAAGATGACTTACTACCTTATTCAAAGAACTTGAGATACTTATATAGAGGGGATATATTTGGTTCTTTTTTAAGGCAATAATTTTGATAAATATAGCAATCAGAAATGGCTAAAGCTGCAGTTTATTTAAAACAAAAATATAAATGTGGAGCTACATGTTGCTCTTTCCTCTTTGTTTGCAAAGAATAGAGAGTATGCATTCATGTTATTTATTTTTTTGAGCATTCATAACTTAGGGAAAAGCTGTGAAATTTACTTTATTTGCAGCTAGTTACAACAACAACAACAACTACCCAGTAAAATCCCACAGAGTGGGGTCTGGGGAGGGTAATATGTACGCAGACCTTACCCCTACCCCGATAGGGCAGAGAGGTTGTTTCCGAAAGACCCTCGGCTCAGAGAAAAAGGAAAAGAGAAGAAGACAATTCATTAGTCACTCCAGTAGAAACCATAATAGTAATAGAAGCATAACAACCGAAAGATAAATGACATGCAATAACATTAACCAGTAACTAAGGCCCGGTGCTAAGATAAACGGCAAGGACAGTGTGAATTCAACATAAACTGCAAGCTATCTAAGATCAATCCTAATCCAACCCCGCCTCACCCCCGGAATGAAGTACGCAAAGCTCCACTACCCCCTACCCTACAACCCTAATGCTTGACCTCCAAGCCTTCCTATCAAGGGCCATGTCCTCAGAAATCTGCAGTCGAGCCATGTCCTGCCTAATCACCTCTCCCCAGTACTTCTTAGGCCTCCCTCTACCTCTCCTCATTCCCACCACGGCCAACCGCTCACACCTCCTCACCAGAGCATCAAGGCTCCGGTGAGGAGGTAAAAGAAGATCAATCTCTTCACATAATAAAGTTTGGAACAGGAAGGAGCTCATAATAAATACCTATGCAACCCAAAATACGAGGGTTACTAGCCCAATGCTATAAAGTGTAATTTTATGGGAATAATTGGAGACAAAAATAAACTTAGAGTTGCAGGGCTCAAGATAGATGAAAATATGTAACCAAGAGAAAGTGAATAGAGACAAACCGGAAACAATAGAGGCTTCATCTTGAATGTTTTCATTAAGGCATTCACTTCAACAGATGGAACCTGAAAAAAGTGTCCATACCAAATCGGAATTATATGAATGAGAAATTTATTTGGCAGAAAAGAAGAGAAAGACCACCAGACAGGCAATACCACCTTCCACGTTCCCATCACAACTGTTTCAAACACTTATTGGTAGTGCTTCTAAACTAAGACAAACCACACTTAAGAGCGTCACATGACTGCTAGGAAAAGAACATCTTCTGCTGTAATGTATTGATACATTATATAAGCTACTTCGAAGATTTCATGAGGCAAATTTAAATATGTTGAGCAATGGTGATCAAAGATCAAATGATTTCTAGTAGAAATTAATAAATCTACTTTAAATTTCATATGGCAACTTAAATTCTGTTAAGCAATGTTGACAAAGATCAAAGGAATTCTAATTAAATGATTTCTACATCATGATTTGAGCTCAAATTCGTTTCTGCTACCACTTACGCATATAGGATGCAACCGTTCAAGTTACTATGAATACATAACCCAATGCGGTGCAGCCCAAGAATGTTGTATAACTAGTAGCTATTTACTTCATATAGTATACCTGACACATGAGATGGAATTCTCCTTCCTCTGGATTGATGCCAAAATCTCCAGAAGCTTCTAAAGGAACATCACCAAACCAACCACTAGTATTATGCAAGAATATACGTTGAGCACGAAAACATAAACTGGCAGACATGTCCTACATAAGAGAAGGAAAGAGATGAAAATGCATAAGGGCATCAACCATCATACATTTCAGATGGGCCATCAACACACTTCACCACACTTATGTCTTTGTATTAGAGCATGTAGGACTATGAAAAAATCGCCATTTCTATAAAGCTACTCAAGAACAAAAATGTCTACACAATTCACAAGTTAAGAGAAGCAAATAACTAAAAGTACTTCCACTACTTGTAAGTTTAATAGCAGACAACTCAATACAAATAATAGACAAATAAATATATGAACTGTTAAAGAGATCATAAAAAACTGTTTGGTTTCCCGACTCCAATGCCGAAAGATAGCTTACCCAAAACCCAGAAGGAGCATCATATATTTGAAATGCCAACCCTGTGACATCAAGCTGCCCATGAAGATTTGGAAAACTTTCCCCCTTATCCATGCACATGTGCACCTAGCAACAAATGATAGCAAACTCAAAATCAAAGTAATTGATCAGACATAAAATTAGTCAAGTATACGATCTTCCACAGAGGATAATGTCAACCATATCCAAGGATAACATACAAAAGGAAATATACATATTACAAATAAGCGCACATGCAAATATCTGGATCTGATAAAGAAATCACCAAAAGCAACCCTGATACACACAGTCAGAAATTAGCTTTATGAATGATAACACGAGGAATTTCAGGACAATAGTATGCGTCCAGCTTTAGTTGTATGGGATGCGTGAACTATGGATCCAGCTTTAGTTTAGCAAAAAAAAAAAAATTTCACTCCTATCACAATGGTCAACGCAAAAGGATTGTGCGTTAGGATAGTGTTAACTAATCTCCGACGTTCATTACTGGACCCTTTTTACTACATTTACTGTGTGACATGAGAGAAGAGGTTGGAAGAGCATGAAAACAAATGTCCTACATCTATGTTCTTTTATAGATACTTTAAACAGTATACACAATTCATTCCCCCAATGGTACAGCGATACATATTTAAACATGTCATTGATGTGATTAGTTCCAATCTAACCAACTAAACAAACACAATCAACTCATCTTGCAATTGAAATGGCATAATGTGATAACGAACTGAAAAAGGTTTACAGGACACATTCAGATTTCAGAGTTAGGGAATACCTCGCCACTAGCTCTTCCTTTGGACCATGTGATAGGAATTTCCAAAATTCTCTCGAAAAGCTGCATCCGAGATAAAGAACAATACATGACACATAAAACAGTAAGAAAACAAGCACTATTGCAGCAGCCTCCTGTGGACTAGGGATCTTTCAAATTTTACAAGTCAAGTAACATGGCAGTGCACCTTACCGGAACAAAGAGGTTCACAATCTTCAAATTCGCATGCCATTTCTGCTCAGTCATATCAACATAAACATCTGTTGATAACCAGCCACCATTGTCGGATCTGATGTCCGAACGCCACATCTTACAATTACCATTTAGTTGTACATGCACCCGTCCATAGTGGTTTTGAAACTTGACATGCCCCGTGACATTTTCCATCTCTCTATAAACACAGACAAAGATAATACTGAATGCATAGACCAGCATGAAATAAGCCTAAGAACGAGAAAAAAGATTGCCATTAAGATAACTCCAGTAGCAGATCATTCTCAACAAACAAAAAATGATAACTCCAGTAGCAGAGCATGCACACATCAAGAATGTATCTCCCATCACCACAGCATTCAACAAGACCAATTGGCTTTTATCACAAAGCTAGCCACTCAAAAAAAAAAAAGAAAAACAGGTAAGAAAATAGATATCTAATATTCCCATTAACAGCAAAAGAAACTCTGTCCAAGACAAATCAAAACGGATGAGGAATGTAAAATCCCTATCAACCAACTATACTGGGTGGAGCACGAGAGAGAGAAAGAGAGAGCGAGTAGGACGGAAAATATTTTTTTTTTGATTGGTAAGAGTAGAACGGAAAATATTAAAAGGAAGAATTTCAAAATTAAAAGGAGTTTTTACAAGAATAAGTATTTTGGGAAGGATTCAAAACCTTTAACCAGGATTTTTAGCTGTTTGAAAGCTTACCTTGGCTCTGTATCACCATAGGCAAGCAGCATCAATGAGCCCCCACTGAAATGTACAGAATCCAGAATTACTGGAACCATCTTTTCAACACTAGAGGCATGTTTTCCGTCATCCCCATCAACAAGTTCAGCAACAATATCCTCCACTCTTGGACTCATCTCAAACTTCAGCCTTTCCATAGGCTTTACAATTGAATTAGCCCCGAGCTGACCTAGATTCTTCACAAAAGAATACAAAGCTGACTTTGGGCTCCAGGACTGTAGAGTTTTTGATGGATGCTGCAGAGGTAATGGCTCAAGCACTGTAAATCCAGAACCACTAGAGGCATTGCCTTGTCGAATATCTGAAGTCCCCCAATGAGACTGTTGTACCTGCTCCTCAAATCGATGTGAATCATCTCTGCTATTGGCACCCCTATTTATGATATCAGCTGCAATTTCTTCACTACTTTCTCCGGGCCCGTCAGCTGTTCTATCTCCCATGTTGGTGGAAGATAATTTTTCACTGACACTCAAAGCTTTACAAAGTCTAACCAAAGTAAGAAGAAATGGATCACGTAGAACAGCTAAACCATCAATGCAATCACTACCGCATTTCTCTACAGGCAAAGGATATGTTCCCAACATTTTCTGACACGTAAGATCAAGCTGGCATGTTTCTACTTTGTCAGGAATTCCTTCACTTGAAGAACCACAATCGAACACGTTACGTTTTGCATTGCTGGTAAATAAGTTCCCCTCAGAATTATCTACAGGGTTTACAACTTCTTCAGATATTGTTGGTGAAGAAACAGAGGGTGAAGTATCACCCTCGCTTTTGACAGGAAAAATTGCAGGATTTGCAACATCATAAGCCTCATATGGCGGACAACAGACACCAAGATTTGCATTTGATGGACCCTTGAAATACAAACAGGCTGCTGATGCACTACGCTCAAGAATTCTTCTTCTAGCTGCAATACCAGCAGCAGATAAATCTCTCCCATTAGCCTTCTTGAATCGTTGTCTTAGCGCGTCTGGTATGATTTTAGACCAAAACCTAGTCCCAGAAGGTGGAACTTTAGCACCAAATGTTTTCTCTAAATCTGCGTGCTTCAAATCATACTCCCCTCCTGCATCCATGTGATGCTGATCTCTCCAGTGCAGTTTCTCATCCATACAAAAGAAGGACTCTGACGTTACTATCCTCGCAAGAGTAGTTGCAACGTTCTTTGAGAAGTCATCATCTAATAGAAAAGAATTTCCTTCAGGAAGAAGATAACCCTTCTCAACTGCCTCCCTTGCTGCAACATCTCTCTCCCTGGCCCAGCGAGTAGCTGCTTCCTCTCTGGCAATCCTCCTAATTTTTGTCCGCAAATCAATACCTTCCTCATCTGACAAACGGCTCAGCGGACTGCCTTCAGAAAAGGGCAGTCCAAGCCATGTATAGTTTTGCTTTTGCACTACCAGAATACTTGGATTGGACAAGACCGCATCAACCACAATCTTTCCCCTACTCAGACTCGAAAAAGGACGAATTCGCAGCTTAACAGTTGGTAGTTCACCACAGGAGAACTCTTCACTATGAGGACCAAAAGAGCATGACTCTAATGTAATACTTAAAGGTGATATACTTCGAACCCTACCAAAATCAAGTTCGCGCTGAACATATTCACTCAATAATGCACAAACAGAAGGCAAAAGCTTTGCTTCAATGTAACTCTTTGCTTTCAACTGGCCATACCAGAGAAGTAAACACACCCCAGATATTACAGCACCAAAGATTGAACATCGGACAAAGAATAACCCTTCTTCCCAAACTGGAACTAGTGACTTCACCAAGCCTTTACTTCGAGCTAATGGCTCTCTCACGGAGCACATTAATGTGCCACTTCTCAGTGCAAAACTCTTCCATAATAGCTCCACGTTTCTGCCACAAGAATGTGTAAATTTGACCCCTTGAGTTATCCAGTCTCCTTTCTTTAAACACCTACACTTGTAAACACCTCTTCTTGATGATCTTACTCCACTAATATAATTTCGGCTTTTCCTTCTGTTAAGGTCGCATTGAAGCGGAAGCCCAAGAAAGGGGCTATGAATCTTAGCATGCATTATCTCCATATTATGAGTCTTCACTTGATATTTGACATAATTGCAGGGGACCAAGAGCCTACTCTTAGTCCCCCTAAAAGCTTCAAGCTACAAACCAGTTCCCAAACATTCAAAGCCTGGTCAAGCGTAGAAGAAGATTAACACTCTTTTCATCACTAAATGCATAAGTATCAATATTTAATAATTCATGAGGAGACCAACTTCACTAGCTAAAAAACTTGGTAACGAATTACAAAAAGATTTTAGAATAGAGCGTGCATCCCATCCCACTCTAATTGACCTGAGTTGATTTCCAAGGAATTTATGAAGAAATGGAGCTTGGGTGGAACTCAACCTCATAGGCTAACTCTGTTCAAGACTGTATAAGGAGGCAGATAATCCATCCCACACATGCCCATGATTGGACATCTGGGGCATGGACAATATAACATGGCGGCCCAACATAGGTTAAACCAAGAATTGGAGTAGGTCTGGCTCTAATACCATGTGAAGAAATGGACCTTGGGCTAACTCAACCCCAAAGCTAGCTTCGGGATTGAGTCAAGCTCAAGGTCCATTTCTTATCATAAATAATTTATAACTAAGATGTTTGCGCTGATATTTTTATTGTTTATATTCTTATATCTATACATAAGTGTTGTAGCTATGTACTTATTGAATTCCGTATGAAAGAGTTTAAAATGTGAAAAATAGAAAGCTGGTTGAGAAGTGGTCATATCAAATTTTAAAAATGACACAATATAGTACTCCTATTTCTTTACATTACTTCGACTTGTTTAAGGGGGGGAAACTTGCTACTTTAGAATAGTTCATAAACTTGGAGCAGATAAATCAAAATTAGGTCAATCAAAATCGGAGATTGATAGAATACAAATTCTATTCACACAGCCTCTTAACTGAACAACATTGTTTCAAGCTATGAGCTTTCTTAATAGGAAAAAAAAAAAAAGGCTTATCAATATTAAGAGTTTCACAATTCAGAAAACTGAAAATGAAACAGTGTATCCAAAATTAACATGAGTTCAAGGAGTTGAGTCTTACTGTGTATAAGCACATAAAATATGTAGTAAAGAACTTTACTGAGGCAAATTCAATGAGGGCAGAATCCAAAACAGGAAACTATTTGTTTGCTATTTTTCAAACTATTTTGATGAATCTTGAGATTGCGTGTGGCTGTCGTTTTTTTCACTACGCACAAGGGGAAAAAAAGAGAGTTTTCGAGGAAAGCGTGGGGCGGGGATTTGCTTAATTGCTTTGGCTCGCTCGGTCAGTTCTGAAAGGAATGATATTGCAGATTGCACTGCAAGTCCTTTGAACTATTTCGAAATGTACAATCTAGTCCTAAAACAAATCAATTTACTTCTCAAGGTATCGTTTTTGTTCCTCTTGTACCCCGTTCTTTAACAAGTAAGAAAACATTAGTCTCTTGCCAGTAGGGGTGTTCAAAACCGAACTGAATCGAAAATCGAACCGCAAAAGTGGTTTAATGGCTTATTAATATCGGATTATCAGATTAACGGGTGGAGAACGGATGAAAATTTTATTATTAACGGCTTATCGGTTTGGGGGCGGATTAATCAATTTTCTTATCGGATAAACCGTTAACCCGTTAAGAATTTATATATTTATATATTTTTATATTATACTAGTTTTAGAATACGCGTGTTGCGCGTATAGTTTATATCAATGATTATAAAATTTTAAAAATAACACGGATATTATTAATTATATGATAGAGTTATAAAATAAAAATTTTAAAAAGCATAAGCTCTTGAAAATAATATATATTGATGATATTTAGCCAGCTTAATAAGAAAAAAAATCATGTCACACAAAAATATTCGAAAGCTTTATCATAACTTTAATATATGAGCCGTGCAATTGATTTAGTAGCTCATACAAAATTGAATAATATGTTGACTTGTACTCTACTATCATGCAGCAATATTATCATTTTGATGGCCTTAAAATAAATTCTATTTGTTCAAGTACTAATATGAAACTCTATATTATTGGTTTAATTATCATACAAATAATTTAATTGGATGCGTACTATTTAAACCCATCTATATCTTTTTCTAGTAAAATTTAAAGTAAAAAATTAGTACTTCTTATTATTATTGTTATTTTATCCAACATGAAATGTATCGTGGCGTAATATAATTTAAAAAAAAATATAAAGGTCTATTAACATTTCATATATAATTTGATGTGCATAAATCGTTAAGATAGTATAATATTTATTTTTATATGCATATATATATTTTAAAATTTTTTTTTTGACTTAACTAATTAATAATCATTTGTTGATAATATTTGGGTTGATCTAATTGAATCTCATTTAGTCACGAATAATGTTATTGACATATGTTCTATTTTATCACTTGAATTACTTTATCACGATCATACATTTAATAGTGATATTTATCATGAATTTTATAGTTATATATTAATTAAATAAAATATTCAGTAAAATAATCTTAATTGATTTTAAACTTTTAATTCAAGTAAGAAAATCTAATAAATAAACTTTTATTAATTTTAAAATCTTAAATATTAAAAAAATAAGTAAATGACCCTAGTTATTGTGATCGTATACTTAGAAAAATAAGTAAACTGAACCTAGTTGTTCATCTTAAACTATATTTCTTAATTTTAATTTAATGTATAATTAGTGTGAAAATAGTTAAAAACAATATCATTCCAACTATGATAATATCTTGATCTAACCTTTTATAATCATTAAGTAATTGAGAATAATATATCGTCTATTAGCATTTATAAACAAGACATTAAGTTACTTAATTCATTAAAATAATAGAGAAAATATACTAAGAAAAAAAGTGAATCTTCATACTAGTGTGGAGAAAAATGTACTCCTTTCCGTTGTACAGTAATGTCGGCATTTATTTACTTGCCATTAAATAAATTCTTTGAATTAAATTTATTTTTTGGCTTACATTTCAAAATAGTACGGCATTTTTTTTTAAGAAGAAGAGCGAAAATAACTACTACTACTATTAGACAAGAGAACATTTAAGTCAAAGCGTATTTTAATATTTAATGTAGAATTATTGCTTAACTGCATGGTGTTAGAAGTAATAAATTCTAAAAGGAAAGCATTTTTATAACCAAAATCTTACTCGACTTTGAATATTCAGATATAGAAGTTTGTACATAGTTTGAATAAGGAAATATTCAATATACTAAATTTTAATTGATTTCAAAGTACTAAATATTAGAAAAGTAATTAAATTACTAATCCTAAATATTAAAAAATTAGTTAAATGAATATTCCAAAATTATAGGATAATAAGTAAAAGACTGTTTTGTCTAGTGTGAACTCTATTTTTAAAGGGTAAAAAAAGACGAACGACATTTCGTTAAGGGCATTCGTGCCTTTAATATAATATAGATGTATATTAAATATCCCTTCCATTTATCCACTATTAGACTAAAATCTAATTTCTAATCAGGGGCGGATCTACATGCAGATTTTGGGTGCTCAAGCACTCATTATCTTTGACAAGATTTAGTAAATTTGTATAGGTAATTATAAAAATATTTAGATAAATATTGATTGAGCACCCATAACTAAACTCTTTTTTCCTCTTCTTTCAAATTTTTTATCGGTGAGCACCCACGACTTTAAAATCCTGGATCCGCCACTGTTTCTAATTTTCCTCACCAGCAGTCACTAGTTAGAAGTGAACTCATATCTCAAAACACAGCTTTCTCGCATCGCCGCTCACTCTCTACTCTCTACTCTTTGAATGTTGAGGCAACACAACAACAACAACACAGCCGCTCTCGCCTCCCATTCTCTTCTTTAAGAATCAAGTCACCTCCTCGTTTCCTCCATACGGCTATAGCCTGAGCTTGCTTCTACTGATATTGGATAAGATATTGGATGTTGTTGTGTTTATCTCTTTGATAGAATATTAAGAATGGTTTTTGTGGTATGTATTGTGTGTATGATTGGTGTAGAAATCATTTGCTTATATAAAGGTGAGAGCCAAGCCAGGTCTGGACTCATTTTGACGAATGTAATTGCCACGTTAGGAAGTGCTATGTTAGCTAAAGAATGCGCAGACTGTATAGCCATAAGCTTGGTTGCATTTTAGCTAATTTCGAGGAGCTTCCTGCCTTGCTCCTCAGTGTGTGAAGGTTCAAGTATGTTTGTCCATTATTGGTTGTGTCTTGTGATACTATCGGTATGCTGAAAAAGTTTAATATATCCTGTTGTGCAGCCGTGGTATCACCCTATCACTGTATCAGTGTGTTGCCAAAATAGGCCTCTATAATACAGATTAAAATTGGCAGATAATCTGCCCGTTAACCACCCGATAATAGTTAAACTGATATCAATCCGCCCGATATTTTATCGGGTGGCTAGCAGATTAATACATTTAAAAGTCGATGACCGATAAATCGAACCGTTAAGCATAAATAACCGCCCAATAAACAGCCCTATTTGCCAGTTTGTGACGTTCTTCTCTATTTTAAGATGTCTCAAGCAGTTAACTCGAGTTCTTTAATAATGTCATTTCGTAGCACTATCGTGATTTTAAGAGTTCAAATTCATTTAATTATCGAGTTTTAAGTTTTAATGTTGCGTTATTTCTATCAAGCTTAATTCAATCACTATTTGAGATTCTCTTTTACTACCATTAGTATAATACATAAATTAGATCTTAAACTTTATATCCAATTAAATAAAATAAAAAAGAATTGTATTATAAGTATTATAAAATTAATGATAATTACCCCATTTGAATTGTATTACTTTACGAATGCATCCTCAAACTTTGCGGGGCCATAGAACTCCCTATCATTGCTTGAAGTGATATAAGTCTCCCCCTCCCGTTACTAGTACTAGTTTTAAAAAAAATAGTGTACAACACGTACCAATCATATTTTGCCACGTAATTTCTTTTTTTTTTTATGCTGGCTTTTTTTTGTTATTTATTATTTTCATTTTACCTTTTTCCTTTTCTTTTCTTTTTTGTTTTCTTCTCTCCTACACAACTGTTGCTCTGTCATAGCTGTTGGGATTCAAGTTTGGTGAATGGGAAATGGAGGAAAAAAAGTGAAGGGAAAGTGAATTCTCTTTTGCTTTGAAAAGAGCAAGTGTCCCTCATTGGTGGTGGAAAGAAAAGGGAATGTGCTTATATTGAGAAAGTACTTCCCTTGATGTTAAATGGGTTGGAAAGAAAGTAAGCCTCGCGTCGTCGTCGTTGTTGTCGCTTGCTCGGCTCGGCCTCGACTTTGGTCAAAGATTGATTGATTAATCTTTTTGGATAAAATTTCTTTTTATTATTTAATTAATTATCAAAAATTCAACCCGGAATTAGGGGTGGGCGTTCGGGCAGTTCGGATTGGATATGAAAATTTCGGTTTGGATTTTTGGGTTTCGGATTGAGGAAATGACAATCCAAATCCAATCCAAATAAGCTTGGATTGGATTGGATTTTTTAAGTTCGGTTTTGGATTAATTGATTTGGATATTTTGGATTTTCGGTTTTGAGCTTACAAGTTGAGATGTTTCTTATTTTTATAAAAATAAATATCCAAATGAAGTACTCATATTAAATTGCCTGAAAAGTTCTTCATTCTCACCTCAATAATCCAAATAAAGTATTCAAGTAATGAAATTATTATCAAGAAAATACGATAGAGATATTAATACGACCGATAAGAAGTAGCTATAGTAAAATCATGTCTAAACCGAAAGTATTCTGATAGTAACTTAGTAATTAATGTTGAATATATGAGATAATATCTAATAGGTAAGGTATTGAACTTATTATTGTGTAAGGCCCCGTGAATTTTTTCCTAAAACCCGAAATTTTGTGGTGCCAAGTTAGGATTTTGTGGTTCGGACTTTTTGGATTGATCAGTACGCTACAGAGCTAAAGGAAAGTGTTTTGCAGGAGTGTGCATTTCTGCGGCCCATTATGAGGCCGCATAATCACTCTGCGGGCCGCATTTGGCCGCAGAGTGAGGCAGTCTTTTTGGCCAATTTTTAAGGTCAGTTTCGCGGCCAATTATGCGACCGCATATCTATTTCTCAGGCCGCACTTTGTATAATCATCCTTGGACTTTTACGAAGGGAGGTTATGCGGCCCATTATGCGACCGCAGAACAGGTCTGCAGACCGCATAATGGCCACAGACCGAAGCAAAAAATTCAGGTCCCTGAGGGCCACCTTTCGCAGTCGTTTCGCGGACCGCATAGCCAT